CAATTGTTTATCTTTTTTAGCCAATTCAAGTTTCATATTAAAATAAACTGAAATGTTGTAAAAATATTTTATGCACGAGTTTGGGGATGACAACTGATTTTCAAAACAACAATGGAATAAAATCTACGGAAGAGGATTAGGGCCACTGGGGGAAAAAAAAAAAGTTAACTGATTTTTAACGTTTATTTCAGTTTACTATGGGAAAAAATTCAGAATTCTGACTTTATTTTCTCAGAAGTCTGACTTTAATCTCAGAATACTGACTTTTTTCTCAGAATTCTGACTTTTTTCTCAGAATTCTGACTTTTTTCTCAGAATTCTGACTTTTTTCTCAGAATTCTGACTTTTTTCTCAAAATTCTGACTGAATTCTGACAATAAAAAAGTCAGAATTCTGAGAAAGTCCCATACTAAACTGAAATCAAATTTTAAAATCAGTAAACTTTTTTTTTTTTTTTTCCAGTGGCCCTAATCCTCCTCCGTAAAAAGCAGATAGGTTCAAACTAATTATTTATTTATTTGCAACCGTTATTAAACGTAATTTGCTCGGTTTCCACTTGGGGGCGGTAAACAAGTTTTGAGGGACCAAAGAAGAAGAAAGACACGCCTTTCCTGTCAGGAATTGGCCAATCAGGAGTCTCCATTCCGGACGGCGCTGTGCCTTGCTGTGCCGCTAAGCTAATTTTCTGGCAGAAAGCTAAAAACAAACCTCATAAACCAACCGCACCTTCTGGTTTCCTGCTCCGAACATCTCCAGGAGGATCAGGGTCGGACTTTAGTCCAGAACCGAACCATGGTTGGTGTTAAAGTGATCAGCAGCGACCCGGACTTCCAGCCGGAGTTAGCGGCCGCCGGCTCCAGGCTAGCCGTGGTGAAGTTCACAATGGCCGGGTAAGGATCCCCACACCCCCACTGGGAGCTGCTAACCGGGACCTGTCTGCCGGTTCTGGGAACCATAAAGACCCGGATGTAACAGATTGAAAGAACTAAATGATATGGCTGCTGTAGTAGATTTAATTAGATGTTCTTTGACCAATGCTGCTGTTAGCTGCTAGTAGCTAACTAGCTGTGCTGCTTACCATGACTGTGCACTATTACAGTAAGTTAGCTGCTGAAGTGCAGCGCTGCTATTACCAAAGAGCTTATTTAACATGTAATAATATGTTGATAAAAGCTGTAAAACAAATAGTCGATAGAAAAGTTCAACCAGTCCCTTTAAAACGATCAAAGATTCCCGCTTTGATTAATAACTTCTAAACTTTTCCACACTTCCAGTGAGGTAAAGCCTCTGAGACTCAGCTGGGAAATGAAACTGCCATTATAATATTACAAAATGATTAGTATTGAACCGATACCGATGCCAGTATCGGGCGGGGCCCCGATCCAGCACTAACCTGGTATCGGTATCGCCGGTTACCAACCAATAGGGCACCGATATCATTCTGAGAGGCTAAAGTTTCTTCAACTATTGTCTCCCATTCCAGGGAGGAAATAAAAAGTTCTACTGATTCACTTTGTTTTAGTCTTTTTCCTGCTTCACAAAGGAAGGCAGCAGCTTGAAGCCATGATGGTGATTATTTTATATCCCAGTAGTCTGCAGTTCTTCATAGATACACACATCAACCTCAAACAGGTGGTATCGGTACGGGCCAAACTGACCAGCCAGGTATCGGGGCCAAAAATGGAGTCGGCTCAACACTAAAAATAATGAGCGTTTAGAAATATTCCACCTTGAATTGATATTATTTAAACACCTGTTTAGCTTATTGCTCTGCTCCATCCTGGTTAGAGATCTGATCATATTTACCAATTTCTTTCAATTTGTTTGGATTGTTCTTGTTCTTTATGGCTTTATGCTCAGAAACCAGGTCGTCTGCGTGTTTGTCGCAGTTAATATCAGATATGCCTCTCTGATTGGTCAGTTCTCCATCCGCTCTACACTATATTTCCTGATTGGTCCCTAATGGCTGAAACTCTGGCTGTAGCTCCGCCCAAAGCGCCTGGCACACCTCAGACTCTATCCCAGACGCCGTGCAGGACGCTAGTTTGTAGCTCTGAACGACGGTCTGTTGGTTTGCACCCAAAGTCAAAACACGCAGCCCCACGGCCGGTCTTTGGGGAACACTCAGGGGTGAAGTGTGTGTCGTCTGGCGTTGGATGAGGGGTTGTAGACGGTGAACAAGCTCATCAAACCGACACACGGACGCCCATAATCCTAGCTAGTTCCTGATTGGCCCTCTGGCGCTGTGGCGTGGAAGAACAGCGCAGACCACGCTTCAATATTTAGCATAAATCAAAGACATCTGCGTCATACACTGCTGCCGGAGGATAACCAGCCCTTTAGAGAACCAATGCATGACGCGGCCACCACCGTGCTTCTTGTAGATATGGGTTTTTAACTTTTATGGAAATATCACAAACAAAATCAGCCCCAGTTTCGTTAGACCGTAAAACATAATTCCATCTACTTATACTAGAATTAATCGTGTTTTTGTAAAAGTTACTGAGGCTTGGATGTTTATGAGAAAAGGGTTCAGACTGGACTGAAGATTCCTACGTCAACCACCTGCCTAAACTCTGCTGTGGCCGCTCCTTAAACCATAAAAATATGTTAAAATCTGACATTTATAGTCTATAATCTACATCCAAACAGCTCGTTTGGGATCAGATCGGATCAGAGGTGAAGAAAGGTCTGAATTTGGCTCATTTTATGACATCAGAGTTAAGCAGAGGAGGTTTTAACCTGATTTTCTCCCTTCTTTCTGCAGCTGTCGGCCCTGCATCAGAATAGCTCCAGCCTTCAACATGTTCAGCAACAAATATCCTCAGGTGGTCTTCCTGGAGGTGGACGTTCATGTCTGCCAGGTAAATCCTTCACTCTCATCGTTTATTCTTTTATTTCTGGTTCTGTGGTGCTAGAAGCCGCTGTCTGCAGCAGTCAGTTTGAATGTGATGTGGAGTTTCTCTCATCCAAAGAGCCTCAAATATACCTACAGCACCGACATTTTGTTTAGTTTTAGGAGAGTCTGGGACGTCAGGCAGACGCTGGATAAATCTGGAAGGTGGAACAGGAGCCTAACTTTATAAAACCAGTTGGGACGCCTGTTTGGGCTAGTTTTCCTGTTGGATCAGCCAACTGTAACCATCTTCCAACTATTCAGGTTGATTAGTATTATTAGGAACCAAACAGGCCCAGATCATGACACTGCCACCAACATGTTCTCCATCTTTACCTCATCTGGCCGTGGATCTTTTCTCTAGAAGACATTTTTCTCGTCTGTGTAGATGGATGCACGTTTCTGCAGGGCGAAGGCGCTGAAGATGGAGGATGATGAAGGTGTGTTGGAGCCAGAATGATGAAGATGTAAAACCTGCTTCACCCTGGATGGCAGCGCCGAGGTTCTAGCAGCTTTCTTCATGTTGGCGGCTTCCTGATCGTCCCTGAACCGTTTCTTTTCATCCGTTGGAGACATTTGGTCAGATTTTGGAAATTTAGGATAACTGGAAATTTCAACAGGGCAGTGATTCACAATTCAATTCTATTCAGTGTATTTCTATAGCTCCAATTCACATCATGTCATCTCAGGTCACTTTCCAGTTCAACCAGATCATACATATCAACCTATT